GCTAAATTCACCGAACATTCGGCCGAAACCGAATATTCGGTAAACGTGCCGAACATGCCGAATACCGAACATAAACCGAATATTCGGCCCATCTCTAGAAATTATCTCCCGATCTACAGGGTGCGTCGCCGTCACCCGTCACGCGGCAGATGGCGCTTGCAATAAAACCACTAAACGCGATATCGGGCGACGTTCACTGCCCTGCCCTCGTCCGCTTTATTATTTGATCGGGGAGCCAAATTAAAGGATTTGCCGTACTCCCTAACCCCTCGCTGCCGAGCCGACCCTCGACAATCACCTCTGTATTAAGTCTAATTGTGTTTTCAAATTCGGCCCCTATAATAGGGGACGCGGTGTGCGCCATGTGAAAAAATAGGGCGTACTCCCGGCTTTATTAAATCCGCCGTACGCTGTGGAAGGTTTCATTTAATCAGGGCGAGGGAATAATTTACTGAATCAACGTTCGTGCGGCTCGGCTCGCCTGTAATGTGTGGTCGGCCGGCGTCGGCGCTCGTGACTAATAAACAGAGCTATTGCCAGTTTAAGGCGAGAAACACGTAGGACGTCCGTTTGTGCATTATTTTTGCGCAGCATATGCGTTAGAAAAATATGATTTTCCAACTTATTTGCACACAGATACGGTTAATATCAAGCAGCTTGCATCCGCTAGCGCAAAAATATTGCACGACGCTGCGTCGACGGATTGTATTTGTGTGAAACTAAGGTCGAAATTCGTATGACAATAAATTCGAAATTCGTGTTGTTCTATCGTATGCGTTAAGCAGCGCAAAAATAATAAACAAGCGAACGTAACGTGTGTTTCTAACCACGCGATGAAACAACCTAATAATATGCGCTGGCAGTATCTCTTAAACACATTAATCTCACTATCATACTTACTCATGTAGTGATGCATGCCATTTGATTACTATCGCAGGATTTTATTACCTGTGCTGCCTATCTTTCGATTGATGTTTTTTATATCTTATCAAGCGTTAAGTTATTAACTGTTATCGTTATCACGCCGTCGATATTTGGGTAATGGTGTGAAAATGGAGAGGCCCGATAAATTTATTTTGGGTCACGCTGTATCCGGGTGTCTAGTTAAGTTAGTGGCAGTAAGAGTCAATACCGCGTGGTGCCGACTTAGAATAGCATCACCCCATATCCTTCTTGTGGGTGTCGTATGAAGCGATTTAGAGATTTAAGAGTTGGCCAACAGGCTGCCAACCTGCCGCTATAGTGGTAGTGGTACACAGTCTTCTGAATGACACTTAAACTTTTGTCAGACATGGTGTAATTGGCCGTTTTACAGCCGTTTACGCTCTACCTACCTCGCAAGGGATACAGGCGTGATATACCTATCTATCAACCTATATCCGACTGTCTAGTTAAATTAGTGGCAGTAAAGAGTCAGGGAGTGTTCTGTTTCCCCTTGAGTCCCTCCTTGCCGTGGGGCGTGAAACTAATTACCGAATACGGTGCTGTTCGGGGCCGATTACACTCTACCTACCCCGCAAAGGATACAGGCGTGATATATCTGTCTATCTGTATCCTTCTAGTTAAATAAGTGGCAGTAAGAGTCAGGGAGTGTTCCCCCCCTGAGTCCCTCCCTGCCGTGGGGCGCGAAACTAATCACCGAATGCGGTCCTGTCCGGGGCTTAATTGCACTGATTGAGACACGGATATTGATTCGGAACAGTTTGCGTTGAAGACGAGTGCGAAGGTAGCGAAGTGGATTAACTACTCTCCAATTGGTAGCCACGTGGTGTAAAATTAAATCATTCTAAGTTATAATTTCCTTTTTACTGTAATTCGTTCTTGGAGTTTAGAATAAAACAATTAAAATCTCATAAAAATTTCGATAATAAATAAGAAACCAGAAAGCCCTTCGTGAAATCAGCTTTCATATTTTACTCTTAGATTTTGTAGTTAAAAGTCACAATAAGTAGAGCCAAACTGCAAAATTAGTCAAGCACGATCTGACCACGGCTACTGCCTTGTACGCCTTGTATTGTACTACACACAGTAAAGTACACCTGCTCGAATAAGTCATATTTGAAAGAGCCCTCAAAATCTAGTTAATCCTATAAAATAAAGTCAATTTTTCTCTGTTGACATGTCTTCTACTATTGGGCTGTCAAATAGGACTTTTTCGAGTGGCCATACTTTAGGTCCTGACTGGTGTAGCGGCCGCGCGTGAAACAGTCTCATGAATAATGTACATGCTGTTCTGTACCATCTCCTTGAAGTCCGTATTACACTACCCTGCCAACATTGCTCGATTTGATATACATTTCTGGTTACCTAGAGTTTATTGCAGTGCCACCCGTAAACTAACCAGCGATGTATGTCGAAGCATGGTCTGTTGACTTGGTGATACCAACTTGACTCCTCAAAATAGACGATTTCTATTCGACTCGTAGACCATAGCGTATGACTCACTCGTTCACATTCAACTTAATAGTCCGTAGAAATTGCGGTGCCATGGAGAATGTTAACAGCCATGGCTTTTTTGACGCATATTAAAATTATCGTGTGTGACGATGAGTTTTTTGTTTTTTCCGAAAATTATTAAAAGTTGGCCAGTATTGTCTACATTTTAGCATTTGTTTTTGCCGCAGAAGGTTAACTATGCAAATCCTAAACCGAAACCTTGGTAATTTTCCATAAGGAAAAAAATTAAGTACTTAGTCAAAGAATAAACAGCCTGACTGAAACATCAGAAGATACATTATTATTTTAAGTAGAACACACTGTTTTAATAACCTGCTAAAATGGTGGGGTGTCATTAAATCTCGCTTACATATCATGAAACGGCAACAGTTGTACAGGGGTACTGTACAAATAGAGTTTAACAATGGAAACTAGAGGGGTAGAAAACAGGGGTGGAAATAGTATAGGGTTGGCAAGTACACTCACCAATAAAAGTTGAGAGAGATTAAAGTTTAACCTTAAATATTTTAGTATTAACAAAACAGTATTTATTTGCGTCATGTACTTAAATAAATAATGTGTAGAAAAAGCAAGGTAGCGCGCTAATTTGGTCTGTGGTATTATTTTACAATCCTAATATTTCGATCTTTTAACTCAGAATCACAGAAAGTTTAAAATAAAAGTAAATTTTTAAAGCTAATAATTAAGTCTTCTCTAAGTAGTCTTCGTAGGTTTTATTATTTTTAAGTAGAGAAAACATTTAACCTGAACGTTTATTAAATAAATTGATGCATAACATACCTGCTCAAAAGTCTCATACTACCTGTACTATTTTTGTAACCCTATACCGATCAGGGTAAGATATACAAGGGTGTCGACCCTATAGCCTGACGGGACCCTTAAAGACCCTCGTCCAACTGACAGGTCGCACAATACTGTGCACCAAAATTGAACTGTATAACATTTGATTGTCGAAAATCGCTGAGAGAACTCTAGTAAAGGATTATAATTGAACATGCCAGTACTATTTACTCTGAAAAAAAAAAAGCTTGAAAAGAAGATCCCATGCCATTATTTTTAACAAAAATTCTCGTTATTTGTCGTTTTGAATAAAAGAGCTATAATAATGTTATTTTAAATTCCCTTGTTATTTCAGATTTTCATTTGCTAAATTGATATTCAATCTAATAAGTCAGAACTTATTTCTTTAAGTAAGCTCTTAGTTACACAAAAACACATTAATTATAAAACTGGTCTTTAAACCTTTGTAGGTAGTTTGTAATAAAAAGAGCTGGTATTAGGGGAGATTATAAGCTTAAAATATTCTGAGGGTCGGGGTTGGAATTTATATTAAATAGTTAATATTTATACCAGCGAGGGTAGAAAGAAGTATGGCGTGTTTCATGTACCACCCTGTTATGATTTGTGTATTTCTGATCAAAATATTTTTAGCTCTTTGATGTGTGGGGGGTGATTTTTCAATTTCCTCGCTTTGAAGTCTAAACACGTTGGGAAATTGACTTCACAATGTTTTGAAGGTGAAATTATACTTGCAAAACCTTCAGTTCTTTAATAATTCAAGTCGGGCATCGATCGATTGATAGTCCTTAGCTGCTAGTGCCATCTATCGGCTGCCCCAGACAAGTCAATGAATATGTAACGCCGGCGTATCAGGGTATTATTGTACGATAATTGGCTCGGATGACACGTTGAATTATACACCGTACGGCGGCTGCATAATGACAGCTTATTAACTATTGATGCGCGCTGGGCTGCCTCTATGCACTTTGCATATATAATTGAGTCATAGCGTGTTATGGGGAATTGACGTCTTGGAAAGCTGTTTACATAGCGTAGGATGTGATTGGTTTATCTTTTAATTGCAGGTATAGCTAATGGTCATGTCAAATTGTTATCATGCTTGGTTATTGCTGCTTTTGTTATCTCATGGAATTTTGTTTCCAGAAACTTACCCAAGTAAACTCTAAATTGGTTTCAAACATTTGCTCTTTTGGGAACTCTGCTACGGCGTAGTAAGCGTAGCTCGTTCTACGAATTCAATAATAGTTACAAATAATTTTCGTTATGTAGGTAGTGACTTGTGTTAATAATTATCATGTTTATTAGATAACATGTCAATATATTCGACAATCACTTGTCTTTACTTCGGAACAAAGTACAGGCTGACAATTTTTGATAAGGTCACGTCTTAAGTCGCGCCCTTTTGATACGAAATATTACATTCGTAGATAATATAAACATATTCATTCTCAAGTCAAAACATGTCATATTTATATTATTATATTCAAGCCCCTAGTTATCGACAGAGGTCGGTGTAGATATTGAGGGTATCAGAGGTGTTATTCTTAAAAGAAAAACACGTAAATAGACCCTGATAAGTAAGTGCTAATAATATCTTGCTTGTCACACTTAACAGGTCATGGAAGATTTATCGATTATAAAATAACTTATTACCTACTTAGGTATAATGTATGTGAATTGGCACAATATTTAAAATGTTAGTTTGTTAGTTAATACTTGCTTAATTCGCAGAGTAGGATAGAACCGCGATAGCCCAGTTAGTAGTGGCGTCGGCAGTACAGATGCCGCAGGATGTACAGGAGTCGCAGGTTCAAATCCTGCCTGCGGTGGAAAAGTTTGCATGTTTTCAAAATATTGTAGCTATGTCGACATATAGGTAAATTATAGCCCTCAGTAAGCAAATTGAAGCAATACCTTTAAACTACCCCCTAATTTAACAGGTCTTGTGGCCACCACGTGTATTTGATGGTTATCACCCCACCGGAAGTTAACGGTACCACTTTCAACAGAAATTGAATTGATACCCAAAAACACCAAAAGTGGTTCAGACATGCATCGCATGATTTTATGAAGATTTGTCGATTTTTGAATTTCAATACATAACAGGAAATAAGCATGCGTCGCCGCACGAAATTGCGACTGTCGCAGCTTTGGTATCCAGTTCGTGTGCGATTCTTCAAGCACCCAAATACCTACAACACAGGGAATTTTTATAGTTTCTCTCTTTCGCCAATTGTTTTATAAATAGCATGTGAAATTAAACGCTAATTTAAAACACATATTTGCTCGCTAATTGTTTAAAAGAGCTTGCGTTTCACATGCATAAATTTTAATGAGTCTAATCTGTGTTGAAACTAGGTTCAGATAGTATCTAGAACGTAGACTATCTAGGTAATTGAGACAGCAGTTGCCAGCTCTTTAGCCCGGATAGTTCAGTGCTCAGAATAAGGACATCGTTATAGATGTAATCTAATTTAATTATGCATATCGTTGTCGTAATTTTCGCTCATAACTTTTACGTGTAAGAAGAAAAATCCTTCAATCTGTTTTTATAATTTTTATGCAAGTCAGGCCTGAAATTACAAAATGTCTCTGATTCGGTAATTCCTATTGATTATATAGGGTGAAATTTTACTAGTGACCGATAGCGAAAACTCAGAACCGGCTGGTGATAAGGAACAACCTTTCCCCAAGGAACAAAGGTCGAAATATGAAAAAAAAAATTTGACCTCCCATAGTAATTGAAATCAGCTGATTGGCAACTATGTATGGGAGGCCCAAATTTTTTTTTCGTATTACGACCTATGTTCCTTGGGGAAAGTTGTTCCTTATCACCAGCCGGTTCTGGGTTTTCGCTATCGGTCACTAGTAAAATTTCACCCGATATTCACTTCACTTGTAATACGACTAACATCAAAGCTATTCACTTAATTATGATTGTTTTCACTTTTACACCTTGCGTAGTAAGCCGGTTTATGAATAGACCTAGCGATAACGGAACGGACATAGTTTTAAATGGTTTCTTTCTTCTTCTTCTACTTTTCAAATAGAACACCGAGTCGGCCAACTGTTGTCCATAGTTCTGCAACCGCCTGCTACAAGTTGCAGGCCTGTGACATGATTATATAACGACCGTCGCCTAAGTAATCATAAACAGCTCCCGGGACGGACGGCATAACGTGCCCTCCGAATCAAGGAACCATCTTGCTTTTCAATCAGGACAGGAGAATTAGTTGTTTTAGCCTGCAATGGCTTCTATACCTACGTTCTTATTCTGTGGTAGTACAAACTAGATAAACATCTCTGTGCGCACCCTATGTTTATCCTATTACCTCATCCAGCTAAACATGTAAGGTAATTATATGGATGTCGGGTGGGGTCGTTTAGTAGGGTTATGCGCTAAGATTTAAAAAATGTAGATGTGGTAAGCGAAGCCAAGTAAATGCCTTAAAAATGGCAGAGATTGATAGGAAAATCTAAACACTACAACTCATCTGTAGATTTTTCAGCCAAATATAAAAGTGAGTACCTAGGCACGAATTTAAAATTTTAATTTATTTATATTAGGAATTTACTTCACAGTAAGAAACAAATACCGAAAAAATACACAAAATTTGATTTGGATACCTTATCGTTCATTGATAGGAATGGTAGGTCAAATTTGCTTGTGTGCTTGAGGTACCTTCATTTAACAAGTAAAAAAAAGGTTGGAATGGTACCCAAGTACCTCTAGAAAGGTAGGTTATTTCAACCTACAGAATTTCTTCTAGTCTAACATAGCGTGTGGCGCCAACGATGGCAATGTTACTCAACCTACACGCGTTCTATAGCTCGCACACGCCACAAACATTTATACCGGGTGTAAGTAATTGTAATTTACTGAAAATTATGCAGGGATGATCAGATCATGGAACTGAACAACTTTTACTATGGAGTCTATGTTGTGAACATTACTAGTCAGTCAGCTGAAAGTCAGTCAGCTATGATCGGGAATTTTGTATGGGAGATCTTCAAATTTTGTCTTTATAACCAACACACCCTCCTCCACAGAAAAAGTTGTTCATCCTACGCCTGCAAAGTTTGATACACTGTATTTTACCCCGTAGACCTATAGAAATCTATTAGTCTACAGGCGTCTACAGGATTAGCAAAGTTAAATTCCCTGTTTTGAAATTCTTATACTTTGAGATTTTTGACTGTAGCAACCCTGACTAACAAACAAGTGACAATCGCGAAAATTCTAAAAACGGTCTAGTGATCCTTCTGTAAAATCTCTATTTCGTGCTACAGGATTAGCTAAGCGAGCGTATGTGAACACTTGTTTTGCCTGGGGGGATACTTGTTCAAGTTGTTCACAGGTTAGGTACAGACTAAGTGCCTTTTACGACGCGTGCTTTGCTAATTATTCTACTTTGTGTACGATGCCTAAGGGCTCTCAGTTTTACGAGATTGGGAAAAATTTGAACAAATTTTGAGTGATTACAGTTCTAGACAGTAATAGTACGGTACCAGGCTGTTTTGAAAATTTAACACTGGGACTTTTCGGGTCGTTCGCGTGTGTCGTAAGTAGCAACAAAGGGATTTGAGAGTTGATGTGTGTGTATTGCAATTTTAGGCAACAGGCTGATAACCTGTCACTACACACAGTCTTCTGAATGGCTCTCAAACTTTTTTCAGACGTGGTGTAAATGGCCATTTTTTACAGCTGTTTACGCTCGGCCTACCCCGCAAGGAATATAGGCGTGATATATGTATCAATTACACTTTAACTACAGCATGCGTAGTCATCAAAGTTGTAATATAGTCGCTCCCCATTTAATCGCTTTTATACTTCCGTAATTTTATTTTAATAGAGTACACGTGTCCATAAAACTTGAATGTATTGGTTGTAATTACAAGCGTATCGTGTCAGAATCAGAAGCCATAGACGGCCGATGTTAGTACGACTGCCTGCGGCGCAGAAGGTTCCGGGTTCAATTCCCAGTGGTTCACGCAAAAAGTTGGTATTTATCACTTTGTGAATTTGTTCCCGGCCTGGTCAGGACATTGATGGTTTTGTGCTTCGGAGGTCACGTTAAGCCGTCTGCCCCGAACCACACGAAAGGAGAATTACCTGTTCACCTTTAACAATGTGCCGAAGAATTAGATAGACATTTAAACAGTGAACCCATTAATTTAATATCTAGGCACCTAGATAAAGGACTTCCCTCGTACCCTTATCAAGTTAAATAACTACAGCCACATGTATAGATACGAATATGACCCGTCGTAAACGGCACACACACCACAAAATAGAGAATTTACAGAAGGACAGCTCGCCCCTTTCATACCCACACCCTAATAGGGTTGCAACTTTTTATTTCTGATATTTTCGGTATGCAGTAATCACTCTGACTCTAATAAATGCAATACGAAAATATTTGTACTTGTGGAGTTGTAATTTTGCCGTGTGGGCATTAGTGCACCGCATGTTTTTGACACTTGCTTCTAGCCGGTTTGAGATAGTTTGGTTTCGCGCATAAACTATGGCATGTAGATCTCTGTGTTGAGGTGTCCTTGAAGAATGAGCTTGACGTCAAAATGACTGGATTGTATGGGGCATCCCAGGCCACGGCGCGCGTCCATAATATGAATGACGCTGTCACGTTGACGGCGCACTACGCCGCCGCCACGTTCGGTATTTATTTTGACTTGAGTGACGTTTCCTTATAGCCGTCTCTCTGTATTTCCCGCCCAATACTTTGCGCACACCGCGTCTTTACGTGTCCGGCATTAGGCTCGGTGCACACAGCCCGGAGCTGCGGTTGCGGCGAACCGCGCGGCCGCGGCTGCGGTCGCCCGCCCGGGCTGCGGTTACCCCCCCCACCCCCCAGCCCACGCTCCGACGCCACATTGTTCCAACAGAAATTCTAAAATAAAACAGAACGACGCTCCGTTTCAACACGCTAAGCTTGTAAAGTTTCAGTGCGAATTAATTGACTGGGTGAAGTCATTTAAAGTGATTTTGCGGTTGGAAACTTTGTAAATCAACTACTTTAACGACACTTTCGTGTTGATATGTTTTGATGGAGTTCAAAACTTATTCAGCCAATGCTATTTTCTCTTTAGTATATACCTACTCTGTTCAGGATAACGAGCTAATAGAGCCTCATCTCGAACGTGTTTTTGCATATGAGTATAAGACAGAAATGACAACTACTTTCTTCTTCTTCTCAGTCGTCGTGGTCAGGAATTGGTCGGATCCTGTGTGGATTTCATCACGATGCGTTTCCATCTTATCGTCGTTATGCACGTAAGAGAAAGATACACATGACTTTTTTTAACTTGCAAAATTTTCCAATATGCAACTTTCAGTATCTGCACTGCCGAATAGCTTCTACCAACTGGGTTGCCGCGGCTCAATCCTTGCCTGCGAAATATTACAAGTGTATCTTGACCACTAACACGTGGCAGGGCTCCATCTACCGGGATAAATAACAGAGTATAGGTCACGTCAGCAATCAATCGCTTTACAACTTTACTAGCCGCGTATCAAATAAAACAGCGACCGACGCCCGCTGACGCATAATAAGCGTAGGGTACACAGAGGGTAGGTAAACAAAAGCCGGTAAACATTGCCGGCAAACTCGGCAACCCGACCGACCCTCTCGGTCCGGCGGCGGTCGCTAACTATGTACACGGCCTTATGGATTATCCCTGCAGGTAGATGGACTTGTCAAACAACCAGCTAAATATGTGGATAGATACTTATACTTACATAAGTATCCTTTTTTGTTTAAGTTTACCTAAAACTCACTGTCTGTTTCTCGTAAAAAGTCGTAATACCTAC